CCCAGCCTGGCACCGCGCAGCTGCTGTGCTGGCCGGCTCCCCCCGTGCCTCCAGGCAGAGTGCGGTTGAGTGTGAGCTGGAGAGCAGGAGGGCCCAGCAGCCGCCCCGCCGGCACGGCTGGGAGCTGGGCCTGGACCTTGCGGGGCCCTTCCGGGCGCCACTGGTGCTGCCTAAGGGAGCTGGCTTGGACCTGGGCAGGGCAGGCCAGGGATGCCTGTGCAGGGTATGCTTGCTCTGTTTGACCAGGGCTTCCCTGTGCCTGTGCTGCCTGAAGAAGTCGTAGTGTTGTTTTGCGATATAAGTTTAAGAAGAAGAAAGCGCTTGAAAGACCTCCAGCATCGTAATGCTTAAAGTCACAGAGCAGATCCCTTGGGCAGTGTAACCAGTGTGGTATTTATCAAACAAACCTAACAGTTGTCAAAGTGTTTTGATTACCTGTTGCAGTTGACTTCTTAGATCAGCCACAGTCTGGTTCTTGGTAGCGGTAGATTAAAAGCAGTTTCAAGAATCACTTGCAATTATCTTGCCTGCTTTTCTAGTATTTATGGCAGGAGAAATAACCCACAAGTTCATTCCCTACCGTTAGCTCTCATGTCCATAAGTTACGGGTACTACACGATAGCCAGGTATCTTTTTCTCTATGCAGTGTCTAACACATGTATCTGCAGATTTTATTAATTTTATTCTGCTACTAAACACATGCAGCATTCTTTAATCAGCTATTACACATTAAGTTCTCTGAGATAAAATGTCAGCAGCATTAAGTGAGCCCAACAATCTTTGAGTGTCTAAACAAATCTATGATGTCTCAATTTGCTGTACTTCATGCCTCTTAAATACTCTGGTTTTACATCGTCTGTGATGATAGTGGACAGTCAAATCCTTCTTTATAAGGGAAAGAAACTTTTCCCTCCCCCCAGTTTTTACAACATCGTGTTCCATTCTAAAATTTAATGTTGGATTTCTGAATGGAAGGAAATTTATAATGGGCAAATGTTGTTGTGTTCCATTGTGATGATGGCTTTTCCACCTGTTTTTTCAGGTGAAGTAGCAGGAAGATTCGTTTTCTATTATTTATATTAGAAGCAAATTCGCTTTGCTTTGCTTTAGTAGTTCAGGGACACCAGGAAGATGTGCAGTGCATCTTTTTTTTTTGACTGAGCTGGAGATATTTTTTCGTAAAAGTAAAGTAAATGGACCCATTGCCGTTGGTGGGGATGCCATGTTTCCAGAAACTGTTAGAGAAACAAAGCAGCAGATGGGTAGAAAAGAGTAGTAGTCTTCTGTCTGACTCCTTTTATTTTAATGTTTAACTTCAGGTTTCATTCTTCCCTGATATTTCTGTGCCAGTTTTCTGTCAAATAACTTGATATTCTCAATTCTTTTTCTCTCTAGCCTCTCCGACTTGATATAAAACGGAAACTAACAGCTCGGTCTGACCGGGTGAAGAGTGTAGACTTACATCCCACAGAACCGTGGATGTTGGCTAGCCTTTACAATGGCAGTGTCTGTGTTTGGAACCATGAAACACAGGTGATGATTTTGGTTTTCCTTTATTATGAAGTCTTCATAACTGACATGTATAAATTCTATTTTTCAGTACAAGATACACAAGAAGACTTTTGAATCACTGCCATTAATTGAGTGTACTCTCCCATGTCTTATTACAAAAGTCACCATAATAATAGACAAGGAATATCTTTAGGTGTGACTTTAATGGTTTTATTTCCTATAAATTTATTTTTCAAGAATTATCTCCTTCATGGATTTTTTGCACACTAATGTCTTTCATTTTGAAAGATTAGATGCCTCTGTCTTGTACCTGCCATCTGTATTTGTGAAGGTTGTAGGAACTGTTAGACTTTTACATGTTTTATCATGTATAGTTGAAATTGAGCAGCAGCTCCACAAATATTTGGAGGTGGGGTTAGGTTGAGAATGAAGGGAGAACATAAAGGTGATGTTAAAAGAACAGAACAGACAAGAGTCTCCCTTCTTGGACAGGTATAGTCCTTTTAAAAAGTGTGCATGTAGTGTTGCAGGGTTTTTGGAGACTGGACACCAATAAGAAAAGATACAGAGCTGATAGCAAAACTGATATTTACTCCAGTGCTATAAACTTATTATTTTTGTTTTTAGACTCTGGTGAAGACTTTTGAAGTGTGCGACCTGCCAGTGAGAGCTGCCAAATTCGTGGCAAGAAAGAACTGGGTTGTTACAGGAGCTGTAAGCTATCACTGTCTTTTGATTTCCATACGCAGTAGGACTTCCTTTAATTTGTTTTCATGCTGTTCCTTTGTACATCACATAATAATATGATTTTATAGGAATCTGTAGGAGAGAAAGGAGTACTTCACTAGTTTCCCAAAAATTATCTCCTTTAAGTAAGCTTAGAAACTTAAACATTTCACTTCAAAGGAGAGTAGCCTAATATGGTGGCTAATTCCGCATGCAGTGCAGGATAGATCTAGATTCAGCTTTTACTATCAACTGGAACACACTCTGCACCCAATTTTGACTAAATATTAGTAGCGCTACTTTAACTAGTTAAAAGACGAAACCACTGGCTATCCTAGGTAAGATGACTTAGAAGTTGTTTTCTGCTTTTCTTCTTGGATATAGTAAAAATAAATCTTGTAGAGTTTTACTCACCTGTAGAAAAATAATCTGCTTTTATTCAATGAGCCTACTTTGAGAGGAATAGTTCTATTTTAACATGTTTTTCTTGATAGAATGAATGTTTTTGCCTAAGTTGAGGTAATGCCTAAAATTTTTTGTCTCAGGTTGTTTGTTTTTTTTTTCTGGTCTTCTGCCCTATACACAGAGTAAAAAATTTCTTGTTATTTCATTGTCTTATGCTGCTGTGGAAGCACGCGTAAGTCAGCACTGTTTCCCAAGAAGTATGACACTGCCTCTTTGGCAGCACAAGAGTTCAAACAGCTGCATGGGAGCTGGATTGACAGCTGGTGGAAGTTAGTCTCCATTTAATTTCACCTGGATCAGTTTCTTGGTCTGATTCAGTGCACAGTTCTATTAGTCTTTGAGCTCTGTATGTCCATTTGAGCTTTCCCAAGGGAGGCTGCAATGCAGTAGCAACAAATGGTAAGGAAAGGGCAAGACAGCTGCTGTCAGCAACAGGGCCAAGTTTTAGCGACTATGTAAATATGACATTAGTCACTGCTTATTCCGTGCGTTCCATGTTCATTATACTGATAAGCTGGTCTCTAAAGATGATACTTGTCCTTTTCAGCCATTCTGAAGTGTTTTCTATAGATGTTGCCGCTTAAACAGGCATATGTGTGAG